GGGGGGGGGGGCATGCATGCACCTGGTGTTTTTTGAGAGGAGGTGGAACGGCAGCAGTGGTCTTGTTTCGGTGTGTGCGTTCCGTCGTGCGCTATTTGGAGGGGTGGATCGCTCCGCTGCCCACAAGACCTTGGGCTAGACCTCATCCGTCGTGACGAAGCAAGTCAAACCCCAAGACCCGAGGCTACGAATGAAGTACTATGTTTGAGCGCAACTAAGGACAAATCATGTCATTTAACTAAGTGACATGCAATCTTTTGCATAATTTTCAAAACACCATATAGTCTACATAAAACACGCAGCACCAAAAAAAAAAACCGAGAAGGTAACCCTGCCGATAACTCCGTTCAAGCTTGCTTCTGCCGCACACCAAACGCATTCATCTAGTTCTAGCAGAACATCGAGAAACAAACGCACTATGCAAACCAACACCGCCCTATGATTGTCATGTGTGTATGTGCGTGGCCCACACCTTGTTATCCGCAGGGGCTCTCCTTCGCGAGAAGACCCAAACGTACCTCAAGATGAAGGGCGAGCTAGCGGCCACCCGGGCGGAGAGCGTCGTCTTGAGGAGGACCGAGCAGATTCTCAAGGGCCGAGACGAGGTACTACATTATTGGCAAGCAGGCCAATTTATTGTTGCATGAGAGCCTCGTCGTTGGGTCAAGCCCCGTTGTTGAGTAGTTTCGTTTTTTTTGTAGTAATTCTTCAGCGTTTCTTTTTACGATTTCACGATTGATCTCACCGCCTTGCACATCACAAGTAGATACGCAGGAGCTTTTCGGCCAAACCTAGCCTCCCCCGCGATTGAGGGTTAGGGTTAGTCGTCTGTTCGCCCCGCGCAACCACAACAAGATAGGAATGCCATGATGCTTGTTCGTCGTAAGTTGTCGCCTTGAAGACCACCGTGCGTATCTTCTTGCAATCATTCTTGGAAGTTGTATTTAAATCTTGTACTTCTAGGTAACAGCCCGATCGCCATTTTTTGTTTATCTGCTTTGCACCCTCGCTCGCTGGCTGGCTTGCATCCATCCTTAGTTTGGTGTCTCGACTATGACTGATTTGGATCGATCGACCGATCGGTTGTTGTGCCCTTCCTCCTTTCTTGTCGTCGGTTTAACGCAGAACCTGGAGGAGTTCCTAGGGCAGATGGAGGCGGAGAAGGGGGTTACGGGGTACCGCAAGGTCCACGCGGACCTCGTCGAGAAGTCGGAGCAGACGGCCCAGGCAAGGTTAAGGCGGATGCTGAATACGGGACGGGAGACAGGAAGCGGGACGATCCATAAATATGCAATAAGCATAGTTATACAACACGCACACTTTGGGGGGTCGACGTTGATGTTGTGGGGTGTGTGTATGATTGATGTCTGCCAGATCAGACGGCAGAGTGTTCAGGCACAAAACATCAGAGCCAAGACGAGTAGCAGTGCTCAGAGCCCCCTCGCAACGTACCTAGGCACGAAATCTAACCGTGTATGTGGTAGATGGTAAATAGATGGTATCGTAGATAGACGAAACCTGTTTCGGGTGTGTCTTGCTTTCGGAACCCCCCCCCGCAGGCCCTTCAAGTGGATGCCACATTCTCTCTACAACTCTGATTGGAAGTTCGTGAGGCCGCTTCACGCTCAACCAACACACACCCTTCTTTCAAGACTGGATTAGGGTAGTACATTCCGGCAGGCCCCGTGCCATCGGCCGCTTTCTGAGCGTGAACAGACACGCTGCGGACCGAATCATCACTTCGTGTTGTATCCGCCGGGACCGAACCATCAGAGTGTCGCACAAGGCTTAGAAGCTGGGTCCCGCACTGAGTGAAGCGAAAGCATCACTTCTTGCTGCAGCACGCAGGCCGGGAAAGACCAGTTGCGGTGCCGAGGGCGAACGAGTTCGACCCCCATGCGCCGCTGGTCAAACAATAACGTGGCAACTTTAACTTTTGGTACAGGTTCTTCAAATTGTCGGAAATGACTGGGACAGGGGTAGAAAAAAACGGCGGTAAGGTTTGGAGCGAAGAATGGCTTGGACACCTCCGTGTACGCCATACGTAAACACTGCAACCCCTCCGTTTCGTCCGGGCGCTGTGGTCCATGGCTTAAACGAATAGGTTAGCGATGTTGCCCCTCCCCCCGCTCCCTACGTCTGCCTCTCCCTCGCCCTGCGTTGCGCCTGTGAGAAAAAACCTTGATGCATGTGTGCGATCGATGTACCCGCACGTGACGGCGGACGGTGTGCAGGTTGATGCGATGAAGGGGGACACTCTGCAGGCGATCTCTCAGCTGGTCAACTCGATCACGATGGACCTCAAGTCGCGCAAGGAAGGGTGAGAGAGAGAGAGAGAGAGAGAGAGAAAGGGGGGGGCGGGGGAAGGACGTCTCTTGCCTGTTTTGTATCCGTGAGGGAAGGAAGAAAGGAGGAGACAAAGCACACACTATCAACTACGCACAAGTGTGAGTGACAGTTTGGCGACGAGAGAGTCGAGAAGGAGGGGCGAGGACAGACGGGCCGTGACCCAGCCGTCTGCTAGCTCACGCCTAGCTTGCCCTCCTTTTCATGGCGCACGAGGAAAAAACAATAAGCACCAAGGACCAACTTGACAAGGTTCTCCTTGTCTACTTGTACCCCGAATAATAGATGCTGCTATCCCCGCGTAGTAGTACATCGTATCCTTAGCAAATGCACTCACAAAACCTCTTGTGGTGCGAGTCTCGCGGCCGTGGACACAAACTAACCTCATGAGTTGCTCGCCGGACGCCCCTTCTCCTACGTAACGCCTCGCACGATGGTAAGCGACAGTGTCGTGGCATCCTTACAACGACCCAACCTGGATTATGCTCTCTTGCTTGTTCCATCCCCCCCCCCCCCCCCCCCC